CTCTCCCTCAAATAAATAAATAAAATCTTTAAAAAAAAAAAAGAAAAGAAAATTAGAACTGTGTATGTGACTATGTTACATTTCTCTTGGGTGGCGCCGCTATTCTCGAGCAGGATTTGGCGACTATAGCCTGTGGAACACATCTGGCCCGCTCCTTGTTTTTATAAATAAAGTTTTATTGAAACCCAGCCATGCCCATTCAGTTACATGTTGTCCTTGGCTGCTTCCAGGCTGCAGCAACAGAATTGAATAGTTGGGATAGAGACGGGTATCCCACAAAGCCTAAAACATTTACTATCTAGCCCTTGGCGAAGAAAAGGAACACTGTAAAATGTGAGCGAACTTGTTCTTTGCTACTGCTTGGAGATCATTTAGAGATGATTTCTGGGATCCCCCTGGCCTGAGTTTCGTCAGGTTTTGTGGGCACTCTGCAGTGCGCCCTGAGAGAGTGTCTTCTGTGCTTCTGCCTCATTAGGTTTATGTGCGGAGGGGCTACATCGCCTATGAGTTAAACAGCTTGCAGCACCGACAGCTCCCGGACGGCACCTGCGTGGTGGAATTCCAGTTCATGCTGCCCTCCTCCCACCCAAATAGGTATGGAGTGGTACGCACCCCGGGGTGGTGTGTGTTTCTTTCCTCTCTGACCCCCGTAGTCCTGGCTCTGGAGGGACCCAGCGAGTATGTGTGGGGAGACAATCAGGGATACCACTCCTCCACTGTGGGATCTCCCTATGTCTCCATTCTCCCATCTGTAAGATGAGATAATCCAGTGTCTACCTCATCCACCTGCACTGCCCAGTATAATAGCCACTACCCGTACGTGGGCTCTTTAAATTAAAATGCGTGAGATGCAATGAAAAATTCAGCTCCTCAAGTCATCCCAGCCGCACTGAAGGGCTCAGCAGCCACGTGCGGTTTGTGGCTGCCATATTGGATATTGCAGTTCTAGAACATTCCATCACCATAAAAAGTTCTATTGGACAGTGCTTTCCTAAACCATGATGCGGAGTAAATGAGATACGACGCACATGGCACTTAGGGCAGTGGCTGGCATGTAGAAAGTTGTTGGTGAACATCAGGGGCCCCTGTGATGATTATCACTGTGTTGTTAGTGCCCGATGGCATGCTGTTGGTCGGGCACCATGCTAAGCGCTTCCATACTCCATCTGACACACGAGGAGCCCTGGGCCTTCCCTTGGCACGGGCGCAGCTGCTCATTCACGTGGGATAGGGATTTGAACCACGTGCCTCTCCCGTCAGAGTGCCCTCCACAGCCCCTGAGGGTCCTCCAGAGCCACCGGCTGGGGCGAGTGTGTTGGCCCGTCTGGATCCCCACGATGTTCTCAGTCGGGGACACACTGGGGTGCCTCTTCTGCTCTCTCACCTTCTCTTTTTTTAAGCCATCTAATTTCAGGCCCTGAAGTGCCATCCTGGTCAGGTAGAGCGTGTTACCTTCAGCTAAAGCAAACACGTCTCCCTGGGATTTGGAGCGTTCCCTTTCCCTCTTCCTCATCCCTCTGGGTCTGGTTCTCCTGGGGGTCCCCACACAGGCCTGGCTTGTGGCTAGAACGGTCTCCTCATGATTTGGGCATTGAATTAATCGGATCTTGTATCTATATGGGCAGCAGGATTCATGATTTCTTTAAGTGGGGAATATTTGGATCTCTTGGGGTTTCAAAGCATGGTTTTCTTTCAGTGGCTTTTAAGAAGAAGGGTGTTGCTTTGTTATGGAGCGACACCTCCTTTTGTATCTGTCACTTATTTTTTTTTTTTATTAGTGTTATTTATTTTTACTCTTCTTATTTAAAAAAAAACAACAACATGATATTTTGTCCAGTTGAGAGAAAAGGAGTCGAAGTGTTTGTGGCCTTGGAATCATTTGGGGGACTGTGGGTGGTGTGGTGCAAGGGCTTTTGAAACTGTCTGCCCGTGAGGAGGCATTCTGTTCTTTCTTTGATTTTGTTGTCTTAGCAATTCAACCTGGTTAGGATAGGAAGGCGGTTTTCCTAAGCCTGTGGGTCAGTCACACCTTGTTTCTTAGGAGGAACCTATACACATATTTGGGTTATTGGTTGTGACCCTCAGTATGGGCCCAGGGTCCTATTTTGACCCACACAGACACTGAGGACCCTGGAGGGATTTCCTGACCGTCTCAGGTCCTTGCTGGGGCTGTTGGCTGGGAGCACCAGAAGCTTGCTCTGGGCCTGCGTGTCTTCAGAGCAGACTCTGCCTGCCGTCGCCCCCAAACGCCACTCTTCAGGGCCTCCAGGAAGGGCCCTGACGAGTGAAGTCCCACCTCCCAGGAGGGCCTGGCTGTCGGACCGGGCCCATTGTGAGTTGGGTCAGGGGACCAGTATGGGGAGGTCAGACCAGAGGCCAGCAGAGCTGCATGCCAGGTGCAGCCAGGACTTAGGGCCAGGCCCAAGGTGCTGGGAGTCCCGCCGGGAGGTAGGACCTGGAGAGTGTGGCCCTACGTGGGGGGCTGCAATTCTAGCTCCAGGAAAATGGTCAGCCAGACCAAATCTTTCCTTATTTTTCCCCCACAAGAGAAGCAGGACATCTAGACTTTTAAAAAAAACATGAAATTCTTCAGCTTCACTGTGAATAGGTAATTAATATGTAAGAATATATTAAAAATGCTGCAGGGACCCAAGTCCACCTGTGGGCTGAATTCAGCCCATGCTGCCTGCCAGTTTGCTACTCTGCATTTAGCTGTCTGGGAGCAGGGGTGAGGCCTTGATGGGGAGTACAGGGGTACCCAACAGGAAGGCACAGAGGCCACCCCCCACCTGCGTCAGGGATCTCCAAAAGCACGCCACATTTGAGGATTCACTAAGAAGATTTACAGGGCTCAGGATGTGTCATGCTCACGGCTGTGACTTGTCACAGTGAAAGGACATGAAGCGAAGTGAAGGACAGTCAGTGAGAGATAAAGGGTCATGGGCGCGGGGGTGGGGGGTGCGGAGGGTAAAGTCTAGAGGATACCTGGTGCAAGCTTCCAAGAGTCCTCCACAAGGGAGTCACAGAGGATGCCCTTCATCCCCCAGCAGTGAGCTGTGATGACCCGTGTGCAGTGTTGTCCCACAGCTGGTTAGAGACTCAGCACCCAGGGTTTTCGCGGGGAGCTGGTCGTGTACACACTGTCCGCCAAGCATGCACCCAAATCCCAGACTCCAGAAGGAAAGCAAGTGCTTGGCACAAACAATTTGGGCACAGTGAGCCTCTTATCATTTAGGGAATGGTGGGAGCCCTCCCCAAGCTCCCAGACACCAGCCAAGGGCCAACCTTGTAAGCAGATCCCCTTTTCAGGAGAGCAGCCCCAGGCCTGCTCTTTTTTTTTTTTTTTTTTAATATTTTTAGTTTGTTGCCAGTATCTGGTCTTTTTTTTTAAGATCTCACCCATTTATTTAATTGACACAGAGAGAGAGAGACAGTGAGAGAGGGAACATAAGCAGGGGGAGTGGGAGAGGAAGAAGCAGGCTTCCCACTGAGCAAGGAGCCTGATGCGGGGCTCGATCCCAGGACCCCGGGATCATGACCCGAGCTGAAGGCAGTCGCCCAACCAACTGAGCCACCCAGGTGCCCCAGGCCTGCTCTTTTGACTCTCTTCTGTACTCCCATCTGATAAAGAGCCCCTCCTTCGCTTGATTCCAGGGCCCAATTGTCACTGCGCCAGGGGACCCATTTCTATTTGCTGCTGGTAAGCAGCCAGTCCTGGGGGCAGGGACCAGCTAAACTCTAACAGGCTGCTGGCCGAGGGGCCAGTTTTGATTTCTGACCCTGTCCCAGGAGCAGGTTTGATGGAAGCGGAGGCACTGGGGAAACAGAGGCCTGGCATGTCTCTTTAGAACCAAGCCTGTCCCTTCACCAGCCACCCGGGGCTGGGCTGTCTGGGAGAAATTGGTGCTAAGTGTGTTCATTCTCTGTGGCCGAGTTCATGATCTTGGATTTCCCTGGGGCCACGCTGACGCTGGAACTTGTCTGTCTGCATGCATGCATGTACGCATCATTCACTCATTCATTCATCACTCGCTTGTAGAGCCCTTAGCCTATACCAGGTCCTGAGCAATCAGACAAGACTCCTCAGACCCAGACCCCCGTCCCTTCAGCCCCCAATCTTAGGTCCTGCTGTGGGCGGGCTCTAATGCTAGTCTGGCTCACCGAAGCTTCCAGGGCAGGAGCAGCTCTTGCGGCCCGATCTTCAAGCAGCTGCTTCATTCCCCTCTTCCGGTCCCCCCGCAGGATGACCATGCCCATCAGCGTCACCAACCCCGACCTGCTGAGGCACAGCACCGAGCTCTTCATGGACAGTGGCTTCTCCCCACTGTGTCAGCGGATGGGGGCCATGGTCGCCTTCAGGAGATTTGAGGACTTCGTAAGGTACCCAAAGTGGCCCTAGTCTCGCAAACACCCCGAGCAGAGGGGCCAAGCAAGCTTCCCCTGGCCCCCACCTGTTCATCTGCGTAGCCTGCCTAACTGTGTACTTCTACACTGTGAGACTCTGAGCAAATCATTTCACCTCTCTATGCCTTAGTTTTCCCATCCTTATAATGGGGATAAGAGAAGGATCTACTTTACAGGACCACCAGGAAAATTAAATGAGATAGTGTATATTAAATATTGTATTTAAAGTCTACTTAAAAACAGGGGAGGGGCGCCTGGCTGGCTCAGTCAGTGAGCATGTGACTCTTGACCTCGGGGTTGTGAGTTCAAGCCCCACATTGGGTGTGGAGCCTGCTTAAAAAAAAATAATAATAAAGCGTAGTTAAGGTGTAAGTGACATGCTCAATAAACGTCAGCACTCAGTCCTGTTATTACTGCCCTGTCCCCCGACCTGTTCCTCCATGCTGTGCATTGTGCTTGGATTATCTTGTTCTAACTCCACAACAGCCTTAGTTGATTCGGGGAGGTGAGGGGTGAGGATTCCCCATTCTGTGACGGGCAGCCCACCTGATGTCCCAGAGCGCTGGACTTCCTTTTATTCACAATCTCAGACCACATAGGTTCCTTCTTCCCTTTTGGGGCAAGACCCCATCGGTGGAGCCTTGGACCTGGTCAGGACCCCAGTGAGCTCTGCACAGAGTTGGATGAGCTCAGAGAGTGGTGGGTGGCAGAGAGGGAGGACCCAAGTCTCTCGTCTGCCTGGAGTGCAATCTTGACATTCGACGTCACGGGGCAGCAGTCCCTCAGCCCTACCTCTCCACCCCGCACCCCCAGGAACTTCGACGAAGTCGTCTCCTGCTTTGCCAACGTGCCCCGGGAAGTCCCGCTCTTCAGCAAGGCCTATACTTCCCTGTACTGTGAGGAAGACAGCAAGGTCGGTGTCCGAGCAGGGGACATATGCTGAGGAGGGGGCGGGCTGGGGCCCTCGAGTCCTTCTACCACCTGCCTTTGTTTTGCCCTCCCAGAACCTCAGAGAAGAGCCAATCCACATCCTGAATGTGGCCATCCAGTACGCGGACCACCTGGAAGATGAGGAGCTGGTGCCGATTTTCCGGATGTTCGTACAGTCCAAGGTATGCTGGGCTTGCCTCTGGTTCTGAGTCACGGAAGGAGGAGGGAGGGGCTGCTGTGGTGAGGGGTGTCCCATGTGCCTGAGTCCTGCTGTGCACTTCAGAGGTACAGACCTGGCTTCTCAGCCTAGCCCTGCGACTCCTCAGAGCCCGCAACCTCGGGCGGAAGTGGCTGAACTCGGTAGAGCCTTAAGCCTTTTCCCCAATAACATGGGGGCAGTGTTTCTCTCTCCCTGGGTGTTGTAATGATAAAAGACAAAGTATAGGGGCGTCCAGGTGGCTCAGTCGGTTAAGCATCCAACTCTTGGTTTCGGCTCAGGCCATGATCTCAGGGTTGTGGGATCAAGCTCCGCATTGGGCTCCGGGCTGGGTGTGGAGCCTGCTTAAGATTCTCTCTCTCCCGGGCGCCTGGGTGGCTCAGTTGGTTAAGTGACTGCCTTCGGCTCAGGTTATGATTCTGGAGTCCCTGGATCGAGTCCCGCATCAGGCTCCCTGCTCGGCAGGGAGTCTGCTTCTCCCTCTCCCACTCCCCCTGCTTGTGTTCCCCCTCTCGCTGTGTCTCTCTCTCTGTCAAATAAATAAATAAAATCTTTAAAAAAAAAAAAATGGGCAGTGGGCCAAATTTGGGCCCGGGCCTGTAGAATATTTAACACCCTAACAAGATGGATTCATAAATACTGATATTTTTATAAAGAATCATTTTGAAATCTAGGGCAACATGAGGATCTCTTAATCCTAGCTGTACATGAGAATCTCCTGGGGTAGGTGTAGGGGAGCTTTTTAAAAACACAGATGCCCAGGCCCCACCCTGGTCAGTTAAACCAGGCTTTCTGGGGATGCGGGCCAGGCGTTAATACTTTTTGAAAGCTTCGCCAATGGGAAACTCAAGTGTAAGCTGTATATTATATATTATCAGCTTAATGTTCAATTTCCTGGGTGTTTTAATGGTTCTTTAGTTAGCTAGGAGAAGATCTTTTTTGTTGAGGTACAATCTTAGTGGGAAGGATCATGGTGTCTGTAACTGACTTTCAGAGAAAGAAAATATATATGTGCACATGTGCGTGCACACGCGCGTGTGTGTGTGTGTGCGCTTACCAGAGAAAAAGCAGATGTGATGAAAATAGTAAAAGCTTAACAGTTGGTGAATCTGGATCATCAGTATAGGAGTTTTCAGTGTACTGATCCTTAATTTTGTTTTAAGGATTTATTTATTTAATTTAGAGAGAGTGTATGAGGAAGGGGCAGAGGGAGAGAGAGAGAGAGAATCCTCAAGCAGACTCCCCGCTGGGTGTGGAGCCCAGTACTATCCCAGGACCGTAAGATTATGGGCTGAGCCGAAATCAAAGGGTCAGATGCTCAGTTGACTGAGCCACCCAAGTGCCCCAACTGATCTTTAATTCTTGTGTAGTTTTTGAAATTCTTCAAAATTAAATTCGAGGGGAGGGCTTTCCAGGTGATTGCCGTGTGCAGCCAGGATTGGGAACTTACGCCCAAAGAGATGTCTACTCTTTGCGGGGAATGCCGTTGCTAAAATAGTATATAACCCTTTGCAAATGCCTCCTTTGGATGGAGTTTTTTCCAGCTGAGTGTTTGTAAAGCAAGGTATGCCTGTTAATCTATTACCATCTGCTCGCCATTCAAAGGCCAGGGGTGGGAGCTGTGGATTATCCTGCTGTTCGTTACTCTTTGTGCACATACTGACTCTCTTCTGGGCAGGAAGGTGCTAAAAATTAGGTACACCAGAGGACAGCCTGGTGGAGTGGCCCCCAGATCAGAGAACTAGGACGCTTGCTTGGGGCTTCTCAGTGAAGGCGGTTGAAGATGTTGTACCAGGTGTGGTTTCTGGGATGTTTGTGCGAGATCCATTATTCTTTTGGCTCTCTTGGTTCCATTTGTTGAAAATGACGAGTTCTTTGCATTTGATGATATTTGGTGCTTAGGAGACTTTCCGGAAAGACTTGTTAATTGAATATTTACTTTGAAATGAAATTGTCTGAGTCTTTGAGGGGACTCGGTTTCTAAAGCAAATCACAGTTGGGGAGGGAGAGAAAGTTTAGAATAATCTATGTGATTTCTTCAGCACCCGCAGGCTTGTGTGTTTGTGTACAAGTGTGAAATATTAATGCGATACAAATGTTCTGATCATAAAAACAGAGCAGGCTCATTCTAATTAGGGAAATGCAGAGGCAGGTGTAAAAGAAAAGACCCCTGGCCCCACCTTCTGGTGACTTCTTGGAGAACAGCCTGGGCTGGGGCAGGGGTGGGGGCGTGTTGCTGGAGCGTTCACATTCCCAGCAGTCATTGTTCTATCTTCAGGGGGCATGGGGGAGCACCTGCTCTGAGCCGTTCCCAAGCCCTTCTTGCATTTAGGGCATAAGGGGGAGATGCACAGACCAGGTGCATGGAGCCCTCTGGTCTCTGGCAAAAAGGTTCCTCATTCCAAAGCAGGAGGAGGGGTGCTCATGGGAACCACTGTCCCTTTACTTCTGCAACTCCAGATCCTCCTTCCTGTAAGAAGCTGCCCTTGACCTCTCCAGAATGCTCCCCATGGGGACTCCCGGAGGGTGACTTACCACAACCTCACTAGAGCATCCCGTGTGAACCTTACTCTTTGTTTGTACCTGGCTCTATTTCCCCTCCTCCCTCTTCTCCAAAACTGTGAACCCCTTAAGTCAGGCAGCAATGTATAGAGGAAAGAGTTAAGAAGCCTTGAGGACTGAATAGACCTGGGTTTGGATGTGGCTCGGCTTTGCCCGTGCTCAGTGGCCCGGGGGCGAGGCACACAGCTTCTGAGCCTCAGTTTCCTCATCTGTAAAATGGGAATCATATCATAACTCCTCAGAGGGGTGGGAGGGTTTGGGAAAGTGAATGTAAAGGGTGGAGTTGCTTGCGTGATAATGGCCGGTTATTAATAGTGATGTAGGTAGAGACTTAATTGTATGTTTTGTCTGAGCAGGTGTTTAGGGCAGGCTGTGCCAGGGCTGCTCAGAGAGCTGAGGAGGTAGCTGCACCCCCCAGCTGAGGGTGAGTGCTGGCTTGTTTCCTTCTGGCGGAGGAAAGGCATTTGGATTCTGTCTTTATCCCCCAAAGGATGAGCTCTGTGGCCCAGACCCTTCCCTGTCGGAAGAGCTGACCTCCATCCTCAACGAGCTCACTCAGCTGAGCAAAAGCGAGCATTGCAAAGTGGCCCTCAGAGCCAGACAGGTAGGGTCGTGGGGTGCCGTCCCTCTTGCCATCCTGTCCCTCACGGTGCACAGCCCCTCTGCTGCCATCCCGGCCCTTGGCGTCTCCCCTGGAAGGTTGGCTTACCCCCCCGCCCCCCACCGCAGGTGCTGATTGCCTCCCACCTCCCGTCCTATGAGCTGAGGCACAACCAGGTGGAGACCATTTTCCTGTCTGCCATCGACATGTACGGCCACCAGTTCTGCCCAGAAAACCTCAAGGTGAGGCCGCCGCCTTCTGTCCACCTTCCACCGAGCGCACCCTGTGGCCCAGGTGGGGCCTCCGGGAGACGGGCTCCCATGCCCTCCATGCGCCGGCACCTGGGTTCAGGGCACAACTGCAGATACCAGTGCTTTAGCCCGGTGTGGCCGGGGCTGCCCGAGGGGGAGTCATGGCTTCATCTTTTGGGCTCCCGCACCCCCCAACTTTGGGTCATCTGCAAGCCTCCAGCTACCCCCTCCGCCTCTGGAACGGGAACCTTAGGCACCGTCCTCCCAGAACTGTTTCCGCTTTCAGATTGATGGGCCTGGGACAAAGGCAGCATTTTCTTGATAGGACCACCGCGGGCTTCCCCACCCTGCCCCACCGCTCCGTTCACCTGACCCGTGGCTGAAACCTGCTCCCATTTCCCTTCCTTCCCTTCCCGTCCCCTAGAAATTAATACTCTCTGAAACGACCATATTTGATGTCCTGCCCACTTTCTTCTACCACGCTAACAAAGTCGTCTGCATGGCATCCTTGGAGGTAAGTAAGAGGGAGGCCCCAGGAACAGTATCTGTCCCGAAAATGCCAGTTCTTGCATCCGCTGCCCGCTGGTCGCGTGCCTGACCCTGGGCCACACACCTCGAGCGCAGGATCCTATCCTTCTCTCCACAAGGTAGGTGCTGTTGCTACACTCATCTTCCAGAGAAGGGAAGCGAAGCTCAGAGAGGTGGAGCGACTCGCTCAGGGTCTCACAGCTGGGGGTGGCAGGCCCGGGATTCACACTAGGTCTCAGTCCAGAGTCCTTGCTGGTACTTTCTGTTACCTCCTGTGCCATCCCGGCCTTATCTCGGCAGGGCACACCTAGATACTAGCCACCAAGAGCCCAGGCACCTTGTGCAAGCTCTCTGACTCCCTGCATTACATACCTTTGGAAGACTCGTCTGCTGGGAACCTCAAGAGCTGGAAGGAACCTAGGTGACAATTTCAGGTGACCTCCCTGTGTGATGGGGCAGAGAGGGGAACGACCAGCAGCAAAACCCTCTGATCTTGGAGTCTCGGTCCCCTGGGGCCCCTACTCCCTCTTCTGCCACCTTTGTAGACCCCATGGGTCACCCATCCTGGTGCTGGAAGGTTGACTGGGTCTCCATGGAGGACCGTTTGGGGCTTGCGAGCATGTCACGGCCCCAGAGCCTCCCAGGCCTGCAGTCTTTCCCTCCTCCCTGGTTTCAACTCAAAGAATCCTTTTCAGGTCTCCCTGTTTCCGGCAGTGCGACCCAGTAGCGCCCATCAGTGCCTTTTCCCCCACTCTTTACAATGTTCAGCTATCTCGAGACCCACTGTGTGCCAGGCGCTGGGGATACAGCAGGCAACAGCTGCAGTCTCTGCCCTCATGGAGCTTCTCTCTGGTTGGGGAGAGACACACGCTAAATATTTCCTTCGTTACACATACGATAGGGTCTCGGGGGAACATAGCTGTCACGCTGAGAAGCAGTCAGCAGGATATAACCTTACCGGGAGGGTCAGCTCCGACTTGGATGAGAAAGTGATATGAAAGCAGGCATTCAAAGAGCGAGTCAGACTTGGTGGAGAGGAAGAAGCAAAGAGGTTCCAGTCAGTGGGAGCAACCTGTGCAAGGTTATGAGCTGTGTGACGTCTGGTCAGTTGCCTGCCTTCTCTGGACGTTTAGATCCTCATGCCGCAGCAGGGGCAGTAATGCCTGCCTCGCAGGGTTATTTGGAGATAAATGAGTAAGCATCTGATGTGAGCGCTGTTGCTGCTCACTGTCCAAGCGCCGGGACCTATGTCACGTGGAAGGCAGCAGCCCACCTTCTTTGCTTTTTGGAGTGCTAAATCCCATTTTTTTTTTTTCTTTTGGAGAATTTTCCAGAGCTCTTTGAGCCTCCTGTCCCTTTGTTTGGCAGCTTGATTGAACACAATCCAGCCTTTTCACCACGACTCAAGATGAGCATTGTGAACATTACAGTTTTACTTGGTCTCTTGAGATGTGTAGAGTTTCATTCCTGCTCTAAATGTGTGGGTGTCCCCAAGACCAGCCCAAGGTCCAATGAGTCACTAGGAAGACTCACAGGGCTCAGCAGCCGGTCATGCTTGTGGCTGTCATTTGTCACAGTGAAAGGACGCAAAGCACAATCAGGAGAGGGACAAAGAGCGTGGGGTGACATCCAAAGGAAACCAAGTGCAAGCTTCCAATGGTCCCGTAGGCACTTTTCATTCCTCAAGGAATGAGAAGTTATGACAGCACGTGTTTTTTGGTTTTTTTTTTTTAAGATCTTATTTATTTGAGAGAGAGAGAGCACGAGGGAAGGGAGGGGCAGAGGGAGAGGGAAAGGGAGAAGCAGGCCCCCCGTGGAGCAGGACTCGATCCC